GTTATATTGGGGAAAATATTTTAGGACTACAATCATTTATTAAGAATCAGGAATTTGACAAAATGTAAATCTTCTCATGTCCATTTAAAATTTAAAGATGTTATGACCTAATTAGGAAAACTACTGAGTGTTGTTTTGACTTTATGCTTGGTGCTTCTTTAATCTGTGGACAAGTTGTTCCCCTTAGCCAGACGTGGAGGTCCACTTATTTACAAGATCTAGAACTACTTTTTTGATTAAATTTTGAGCTTTCATTTTCTGATTAGACCCTTAGGTTAAGCTTTTGCTTTCATGACATTGGTCGAGAACATGTAGCATTGTAGAGAGATTATTGGTGAGCTAAAATGAATCACCTAGGAATGAAGAACTCAGAATGGTGAAAGAGCCACCCTTGGTTGGCAATTCTTTGAGTCTAGTCTAGCTTGAAAGATACCATTTTCTCCTTCCAGATTTTGGGAGGGTGTTTGGCCTGGGGTATTGTTTGTTTGTTTTAAACTTTAAAAGGTAGTGTTACTGGCCTATGAATGTTGTTTCTTTATTGTTTCACACTCCAAACACACAAAATGAACTAGATAGAAGTGAGGTCAATGCTGCAGATGAGAACAAGGTGGCCTTTAGGGTGGAGACCCTTCACTGTGAATTCATTAGCATTCTTTGTTTGAAGTGGCCACAGTTAAGGAGTATATGCAGGGTAGGGAAGGTGTGTAGTGACATCCTCTCACATTTATTTTGGGAGGTCTAGCATTCTCCTATCTTAATAACTTATCTTTAACTGGTGTTAAAAATTGAGTATAATTTGTTAGCAAAATTTGTTTTTAAAAATACATGTAAACTCATTTTAGAGCTCAACATTTCATTCATTTTTAAATTTTCCAATATTTATGATTTTATTTCATCAGTACTTTGTTTTCATTTCTCTTCATTACCCTTTGTCTTCTCTTAGTGATTTAAAGGCCTACAAAACATTCCTACTTTGTTACAGAATTGCTTTTCTTTTTAAAATAAGCCAATGGGAGTTTCATGCTGGCATACTAGATTTAGCTAGTATTAATTGAATATGAAATATATGCCAACACTGACATAAATATTTAATCATAAAGATTATATTTGAGATGTTAGCCTCCATTGTACATACTGAAGAACTCAGGTACAAAAACAAAAAGTCTCAAAACTAGAATAGAATAGCTATTAAGTGGATAGTTAATAGAGTTAGTATTTGACCCCAGGACTTCTAATTCCAATTCTGAAATTCCAATTATTATTCATTAACTAGGCTTTTTAGTGGAATCTCATAGCAGACAATAATGATATGTTTATCTTATTCTTATATTTTTCTTTCCAATCTGTTTTCTATGCAATATTGCAATGCATTTTTTTATAACATGTCAACAAGGTCTAGAGATAGACCAGAAACCATGTTGGTCATAATTAAAGCACAACTCTAGGTGGTGTGAAAGGATACTTTATCTTCGGAGTTAAAACTATGAGGTCTTCAACTAGGATTCTGGAGCCACAGACTAAACAGAGTCTTTAAACATATGATATTTTACTTACGGAGTCATTCATTCTTTCTTCTTCCCCTGGGCTAGTTCACGTCTCATCATACTCATAATGGTTATTCCAGAACCACTTCTATGGAAAGAAAGAAAAAAAATACACATTCTTTGAAGAATTCTGTATTAAGTTTCTGCATGTTTTTTGCTTTAAAATTTATTTTTCTGAATTCCAAATCCTGAGGGTTGAGCTGTCCATTTTTAGATAGACCCATAAACCTTGGAGAAGCCATAGTGTAGAGGACTCAAGGCAGCATTTGAGTTCTCACTCCACTTTCCAAAGCTCTTGCCTTTGTTTAGTTCTTACTGAAATCACTTATCAAGCTTTTTACATATTTACATCATATGAATTTTAATGTTAACATCTTTCAGTGTTTTGATATAGTATACCAAAAAAAAAAAATGTTTTTTGGTCTCCCAAACTTTAACTTTGTTCTTCAAGTCTAGTGAATCATTAATCATTTCACTTCCCATCTTTAAAAGCTACCCCTTGGCATCGCTTGTGGTTTTTGAAAACTTTTGAATGCATTCAAAAGATCAGAAATGATCTTTTTGTTTTGGTTTGTTCTTTGTGATTTAATTCAACTCATCCACACTGATTAAACATTTGTTAAAAATTATAAATTATAAAAAGGCTACAACCTGTAGTGATCTTTTTATGTCGATAATATAAATTTGTTTGACTTTTGTTCACCCCATTTTAATCATTTCAATGGGAAACTATTCACCATGGAATAATTCTTCCACACTCCTGCGAGCTGGGTTCATTCCTATGTTTCTTATTCATGTCTCGGCCATATCTAAATCCAAGACCTCCATGTAGTGGCTGACTTTCAGCTGAACCACAGATGGTGATTTAAATTATGAAAAAAAAGCTTCAATTTGGATTGAAATCCTCATTTTTTTTTTCAAAAGGGACTTAAACAGAGCTCCTATCCATGACAGCGACTTTTAAGTGCCAACCTATTTGGCATGTGTTTACCTGCTTATCTTTTATTGCATGTTGATGACCCACTAAGCCTTCTTTATCTCATTTTAACCTCCTGGTAAGATAAAACTTTTTTAATGGTTTGCATAGAATTTTGATCATATACAAAGCGGCGTAACAAAAATTGCTTAATTAGTCCCACTGTTTTTACTTCATGATCATCTATAAATATTAGAAGATAGTTTGAATTACACGTCTGGCAAAATACAGGGCAGACTCCATGAGAAATAAATGTGCCACTGTCAAGAAAATAAAAACTTCACTGTTTAGAAGTATTGAGGGGAAGGATTGTGTCCCTCTGACTCATTGAAACTGTTACATGCCATTAGGCTTACTGTAAACTATCCCTTGATGAATTCTTTGTTGGACAATGAGCTTAAGAATCTGAGGTGTCTTCTTGCTTTTACTGAGCAGAATAGGACTCTGATGTTTAAATGGAAGTTGCAGAGCACATAATAGGATGTAGCTAAAGTTACTGACCTACCACATCTCACTTTCAGGAAAGTAGTGGGAGAGATTGTGTCTTGAGAAGAAAGGCATTTTAGAGGTAACCCTTTTAAGATTTCAATTAGTTATTTAAATATATGAATCATGTGCTTAAATGTAATATTACTTAAATGTTTGTTTCTGAGGCCAGCTAGCCTATAGGAATCCTAACCAGCTACAGGGAGAGGTTTTGTTTTCCTGGGACTAGACCTATTTTTTCAAAGAGCTGGGGCAAAAATGTTTTGGGTTTCTGATATTTAATGACAGGATTTGGAGAAAATTTTAGGATTTTGTGTGAATAATGTGATGATTAACCACAAAAGAATAGGCAATGATAATGTTCTGGTTTCTATAATGATAATTTAGTAACATATGTTTCACATTTGCACTGGTTTACTATGGCTAACTAGATATGGAGAGATTTATAAAAACATGTTTTCAAAGAAAAATTATGGTCCTTTCTTTTTGCAAAAATTACTCAAAGGCATAATTGTTTAGAAATGCATTTGTATGTGCTTTCCAATTACATATTTACGACACCTTTTAGGTGTTTATCTTTTCTAATACAACAGCAAAATGTTTGGGAGATGTTCACATCTGACATTTTTCTAAACACCGATATCTTATGTTTTCGAAAGCAGTCTTTAAAAGACAACAATTATCCTATGCTAAGAGAATTTGACTTTGAGATTAACTAGAAGGGAATACTATATAACATTTCAAAGAATAAAACTGACAAGAGTATATGTACACTTGTATTGGTAACTTTAAAATACTATAATTATTGAAATATAGCTGAAAACTCCATTATATCATAAATCTCACCTCTTGCCAGTATATTTTCATTTTTTGTTCAGTTATGCATTTAGTTACTTCATATGCACTATTTGTGTGCATAATAGAGACCTACACATTGTTAAATTTATGAGCTTCTTACCTTAGCTGCTTCAATGTTACTTCTATAGTCTTAGGTCCTATAAGTAATGCATACGTAAGTGCTACATTCAAGGCCAAGTATATATTCAAACAAATTTTCTACAACCCACCTAGGAGACTGTGATACCCATGAGGTGACCAGGTTAATGAAATCAACTTTTATTTTGTAGATTTAAGATATTTAATCACTTCTACTCAAAAGATGGTTGCAAACAAAACCTAGGATGCAAAACACATAAAGTGAAAAGACACAAAGTAAGACAAAAAAACTTATGGCAGTATTTGTTAGAATACTGGGTTTATATTATGGTTATATTTTGTAAAATGTGTCATTCTGGAAAGAATATGAAGACCCAGGTTTAAGGCTGACTGCCATAATCTAGCTGTATGATCTTGGTTAAGTCACTGATCCTATCTGGTTTTTATTTTCATTAACTGTGAAATGAGAAAAGTATAGTAGGGACTCTTTAAAAACACCTCTTCCCCTGTCCCCCCCCCCCCCCCAGTTCTCTGAACTGTAAATCCATGATTGCTCAGGCATCTGCAAAGAACCAAGTACTGTGCTTAATCCCATAGGTAATAGTTTTAAGGGTAGTGACCATATGTTTACAATAAATTGTGCAAACATTGTCACTGCTAGCACTCATTCCTAAAGTTCTGTAGACATCTATGGTTTAAAAAATTAAGCCAAACAATGGGGATTTACAATTTGGATGCTGAAATTTTAATCAACAACTTTGATTGGAATTTCTTGTCTTAGAAATGGACTCTAAATATGATGTTTGACACAAGCTTAGTGCTAGCTGTTTGATATTTCTCTTCGACCTTTGATTGCTGCTATTTTCTACCAACTGGCTCGTCAGCAGTGATAGGACCAGAAAAGATAAAGCAAATAGTGTTTCCTGGGGGTTAATAATTAATAACCCGACCTTTCATGAAAATCTCTATGGATCTGGTTCCTTACTTTGTCATTGGCAGCAAGATGTTAACAAGAGAAGTCTGTATAAAAAGCAATTGCTCTTTTGTTTCCCAAACAGGTATTACAAGTGGATAAATAATGTGCACTGCTCTGAGCCCAAAGGTACGCAGTGGACCTGGCCTCTCTGATATGCATCAGTATAGCCAGTGGCTGGCCAGCAGACATGAAGCTAATTTGCTACCGATGAAAGAAGATTTGGCCTTGTGGTTAACCAATCTATTAGGTAAGGTTATAAGATATCATTTTGTGAGCAAAGATAACAGGGTTGTTTTTTTGTGTCTCTCCACCCCCGCCCCCACCCCCATGTAGTGTCCTTCACCTAAGCATGTGACAGAACCTTGGAAAGAAAGATTTCATTATTTGGGTTTTGCATCTGGGAAACCTGAAGCATGTGGAAAATTTAAATGAATTTCCCAATGTCTCTCCCATTAACGGTGCTTAGTACTTCCAATATCATGCCGCGAAATGTGGAAATATGTGGTCAAATTGCTTATTTCATCTATATGCCGATCTGATTTACTTTTCACTTTTCTTTTATGCAATGGACCAACCTGACCTATTCTTTGGACATTGCACCCAGGCCATAGTCTGTGAAATCTGACTTCTAAAGCTAGATTGCTTTGCCCTACATTTATAGCACACCTTCTAAAACTGCTGAATACCCAAACTCTAGAATGAACACATCTATCCTTTGTCCAAATGAGCTGACTAGAGTCATCTAACCTTGAGCTAAAATTTTTCTGTTCTTTTCACTTCTGTTTTTAGCTACTCTTCTAAAAGTACTTTGTCTGAGAAAAAGGCTACCTCATGCTAAGGCTGTCTCTTTTTAAATTCTTATTGTGCTGGCATAGTCATAGGATAAAATTTCAACCATGTGCATTTTTTTTTAACCATGTACATTTAAAGGGTCAGTATATAGAACAGCGGTTCTCAACCTGTGGGTCGCGACCCCTTTGGGGGTCGAACGACCCTTTCACAGGGGTCGCCTAAGACCATCGGAAAACACATATATAATTACATATTGTTTTTGTGATTGATCACTATGCTTTAATTATGTTCAATTTGTAACAATGAACTTGGGGGTCACCACAACATGAGGAACTGTATTAAAGGGTCGCGGCATTAGGAAGGTTGAGAACCACTGATATAGAGAAACACCCTTTTTTTCCAATCGTTTTTCACAGAGAACAAAATTGATTTATGACCCGAGGGAAGGACCCTTATAAACATAAGATATAAGATTTGAATATCGAGTAAACATATTATTTGTATGATACTTTATCATCTGCAGAAGGGATTCCACCAACATTATTTTATTACTTAAAGAGAAACTAAAAAGCTTAGTGAGAAGCACCCTGTCCACCTGAAATCTTAGTGAAATTTGGAAAGGTTTTAGCACATTTTAGCCAGATTTTCCTTTCATGCACCATGGCTCAGGATTTTTCATGGCTTTTTTTCTTTTTCTCACTGTGCATACACTAGTTTGACAATTCTCTGTAGTGTAACCAGAGCTACTGCATATGCATATGCATGTCGTACTTTCACAAGGACACCCGACCAAAGGGCCAGGATAGAGATGCAGAAGGCTTTCTGAGAAGACCCTTCACCATGCTATGGAGCTGTGTCCACTAGAAGGAAGAGGCTACCTACCCCCTTTTGTAATTCATCCATGCAAAGGAGGAACTTTTATCTTTATCTCTGAAGACAGCTCAAACTTAATAATAAATTACTAGTGTAACAATCGTGAGTGAACCTTGGAAAGACAAACATAAAGAGAGGAAATCCACCTGCTCTCTTCAGATATGGGCTTTCGCCAATACGGCAGTACAGAATGGAGGGTAAGAGAATAGGCTTGATTAGGGACTGCCTGTGCTTGAACCCCAGAACTGCCACTTACTACCGAGATGATATTGGGACAGAAAAACTTCCCTTCTCTGTGCCTCAGTGCCCTCATGTGTAATGTGGGAATAATAGTCGTGCCTACTTTGTAAGGTTGCAATGGGATTACATGACTAAAATAGGTATGCTATTTAGAAAGTGCCTGACATATTGTAAATACTCTGTGTTGTTGTTATTCCAATTATATAGTTTAGTGATACTGTTAATTTTGTGGATATGTTTATTTATTTATTGAACAAATATTTGAGTGTGCAGCAGCATATAGTATTAGTTTAGAAAATATGGACACTGGAGTCAGAAAGCTTGAATTCAAATCTCGGTTCTACCACCTGCTAGCTCTGTGATGCCGGGCAAGTGTCTAAATGAACCATGCCTCTGTTTTGTCATCTATAACTTAAGTATAATACTAGTATCAACCTCATAGGATTGTTGGCAATTTGAATGAGATGATCACATTTAGAACAAAGTCTGATGCATAGTAATCAGCTAGCTATAGTAAATACGTGCTGTTGTGATATTTGTGGTCCAGATGCAGTCTGCTAAGTACTGGAGGGAGGAGTGGTGATTAAAAATAGACAGAGTGCCTGTTCTTAGAAATGTTGCAGCAGATTGCAAAAGAAACATTAAGTAAGTAATTGAATAATTCATTAATTGGGCTTGTTATAAACACTGAAAGATACAGGTTGCAATAAGAGGTGGGAGAGGGGCAAAGGATTGCAGGACTTAGGGAAATCTTCTTTAGGGAGTCTAATGTTTAAACTGAGGACCAAAGAATGATTAATAGACAAAGCATGTGAGAAGAGCCTGGTTAGAGGGAATGGTTTGTACTGAGGTAGAAAGGAGTTTGGTACATTGGAAAAACTGAATCAAGACTAGGGTGAACAGTGCAGATCAAGAGAAGGCGAGTTCATGACACATGTAGGTGCTAGGTTATGATAAAAAACATTATAATTTATTGTATGATCAGTGAGGAGCCATTGAGGTTCCAGATAGAGGGAGATGGTGATTCATTCGAATATAGGCTGATTATACAGGTATGGTCCAAGGTCCCATGACCTGTCATCGAAGCCATTTTATTTGGTGAATGTGATCATTTACAAAGCAGCTTGATCAGTGTGAGCAGCCCAAGACAGCCTCAAAGAATAGAGAGTCAGTATGTGTAATGGAAAGATCCTTGGAATAAAAATCAAGAGACCTGGCTCCTAACAGGACGTCAGGAGACCTGGCTCCTAACAGGATGTCAGGAGACCTGGCTTCTGGTTCTGGCTCTGCCACTCAGGAACCTTGCCCAGAGTCACTCAGCTATCTTTTCTGGGCTCCGTGTCCTCAACCATAAAGCGAAGGGGTTACAGACGATCTCTAATGTCCTTTCCAGCTCCAAAAGTGTACGTTTCCAAGAAATCCATCCCTTGAGACCCAGTTTGAGATCATCAATATGCATGAACAAGGGAACATCATTTACATAAATGAATAATCTTTATTTTAAAGAATCAGACTAATTTTTTTTTATGCTAGCAGTTGGTAACACAAATGCAACTAATGGCTTAGGAGATTTTCTCAGGAAAGGAATCTTTATTTATTTATTTATTTATTTATTTTTTTTAAATTAATAAATCTTTTATTGTTCAGATTATTACAGATGTTCCTCTTTTTTCCACCATATCTCCCCTCCACCAGGTTCCCACCCCACCCCATGCCCTTACCCCCTACCACTGTCCTCATCCATAGGTGTAAGATTTTTGGGGAAAGGAATCTTAAAAGAATCTCAAGATAGAGTAAAATACCACCTTGCATTGACTTAAATTAATAGAAGTAGATAGATGGTAGACCTCAAGTGAATAGCCTTATGGCAACTTAAAAAGTAGAACAATAACTTGACATTATTTAAAAGTGGTAAACCACTTGGAGATAAGAAAATATGTACTAAAATGGTGATGGTATGAAGGGGAGAAAAACAATATGGCTTAGTTTAGAAGATATTTTTATAACATTAGATACATTTAGAATTCACATATTTCAGAAATGAAGTCAGTAAAGTACACTTTAAAATTATATTTACTGGCCATTTTATCACTTCAGAAATATTTTCAAATTTATGTTAGTAACTCTTAATTCTTGCTTTGTATGTACTTGAAAGTTAGAGATACCTTAAAGGTAGTTAGCTCCAAAGTTGATGCTGTCTTTATATAACATATCTATTTTTTTTTTGGTGAGGTAGAAATTCACATTCTATATTAAATCTTTTAATGATATTTTTACCATTGTGATATAGAACTTGTGGAAAGGCTTTCTACTTCTTTTTCGTAATACTTGATTAAATTGTAACATTTTTCTTTTTATGCCCTTCAAAAGGAGTATTAATGATGGTCTAAATTCAGATATTTCTGGTCCTTCATATGAAATATCAAGTGAAAACTGTAGTTTCTTAAAGAACACTCAATTTGAATTTAGATATTTCTGCTAGATAAAAAATATTTGATAGAGAAGAAAATTATTTCATTGGTCCATAGACCAGTATTCATATTCATATCACATATGGAGGTTTAATACTATAAATTTCAAGTATATGATACTTAATCAGTTACACTAATACATACCACTTTACTTTCTTAGGCCTGGAATTAAAGGAGCAATAGCAAATTTTTAGATTAAATATTATTTATGTATAAGAACACAGACTGCCAGCTGTCTTGTAAAAAGTTAACTAAGATGAATAAATAGCAGTGGCAGTTGGGATTTGTTTATGGGATAGCACATCAATGTGATTCATAAGATCATCATGTAATATTTACTGACTACTCATATATCTTTGGAAATATCAACTGACCTTACTGAAAATAGTTTGTATAGTCCAAGTATATTTTTCAACAGCTGGCTCCATGGAGCAGTTTTATGGCCATTATTAAGAAAAAGCAGCTAAAGAATCCTGAATATCTCTTCATTCTTCACTATAAAAATGTTTCTTTGGCCATTGTCCCCTATTATACATTAAATACAAACATTTCATCTCTATTTAAGACCTTCTGTTTTGTTATTATTGTTCATGAACTAGCTATTTTTCCATTTGTTATTGATCTGCGTCCTTAGGACATATTTGAACATCAAATAATTATAAAAATAGCCCTAACCGGTTTGGCTCAGTGGATAGAGCGTCAGCCTGCGGACTCAAGGGTCCCAGGTTCAATTCCGGTCAAGAGCATGTACCTTGGTTGCGGGCACATCCCCAGTAGGGAGTGTGCAGGAGGCAGCTGATCGATGTTTCTAACTCTCTATCCCTCTCCCTTCCTCTCTGTAAAAAATCAATAAAATATATTAAAAAA